GGGACACGGCACATACAGCAGGCAGGAGATATCACTGACTCACTGGCCAGGCATTGCGTAGAGGCATGACCAAACTAGGCTTAATGGAAGAGAAAGCCCTGCAAAGCAACAGTCATTCTTGCTTCCCATGTCTGCAAAGATGCTCTGGGATTTGAGGAAGTCATGGACTGTCTTGGCTGTCTACTAACAATGCTACTGAAATCATCAACTCAGATGAATAAGCACATTTTAATATGCCAAATAGAAGACCTTCTTTCTTCTGTCTTCTACAAAGACTGACATTTAAAAGGCCTAAACATGACCACTCATTTAGAGACTGTACTCATAATGACTTTGGAACAGCAGGCTTCAACCGGTGATGTGCACTCAGCAGTATGGCATGCCAACTTCAAAGGTGAAGCCCTTCACAGCACCCCTGCATCTCAAACGTAGTGAGAGACAGTACCTGGCAGTAAACAGATAATATTCTATGGTTTTCCTCCTCCAACTCCCAGCAGAAAGAACAGGTAAAAGATAGGAAACACCTTAAAGCAAATACACGTGTTTAATTTTCTCTTCTATTTTTTCTCCATCAGTGAAAAACATACAGAAACATTCAAAGTCTAAGAGTTCAGACCAGGTTCTTGTTATTCTCCCCTGCCCGTATGAGAAGGTTAAACAGTCACCGAACTCTGCATACCACCCTCAGTCACGAAGAACCCTCTGGCACAGCTCCCAGACCAGTAAAAAACGACCATTTCAGTCCCCAAAGCATGGAGCCTGATCCATTTAAGCAAAACAAGTTCTACTGACAGCTGGTTTTCTTAGCATATTCACGTCCGCGTATTTATCAGAGAAAAGTCCTCCAGGACAACAGTGTTTATTGCAGGATTATTTCTGTGAATCCAGGAACACAGCATTCACTGAGCAACAGTGTTTCCACCCTGCTATCTTTTTGTCTTAAAACGTGAACCAAGACAAACCCATTTTTATTTTCTTTAGCATGGATGACTCATGAAGGAAAAAAAATACATACATTAAATTTTTTCTTTTTTTTTTTTAAAAAAAACCCCTTCTGATCCACATTCATGTGTAGTACGCTGACACACATTTTAAGCATTAATATAGAAATTAGCTCTTCAATCTCGCACTGACTCCTTGGATTTAGAGTCTAGTGACTTTTAATAAACGGAAGCCAAAGGTATGATGGATATTTTTATTACAGATTTCCTTTCCATATGAATATCTAGTATACTTTCACTAGAAAGAAAATTTTGAGCAAGATGCTTTCTACCGACAGGTTTAGAGACATTATGAATAATGTGTGGAAATGCGACAGACGTGTAACGGGTAAATATCCCAGCAGCTCCTCGTTGTGCAGAGGACGTGGAAATGCGACAGACGTGTAACGGGTTATCCCAGCAGCTCCTCGTTGTGCAGAGGAGGGCAGAAGCAGCCTCAGAATACGTCTGTGCCTACCTAGCAGCAGGAGGGGGTCAGGTGGATGGGCAAGTGAGGGGCCTCAGGTACTGACACTGCTCAGCTCTCTGACCCTCTCCCCAAAGCACAGCAGCCGTCAGCGGGGAGGATGAAGAGCATCCTGTGGCCAGCCCCATGCCCCGAGGTGGGAGGAGGAGCAGGACGAGCTGGGGACACACACTCACGGATGCTGACAAGCACCATCCTCTCAAGTTGGGTGGTCAGTCTGTGGGGTTTCCCAGCTTACCACCTCCTCCAGAAGCGTGCAGAAATTTGTTTTTATGAGACTACAGTTACGATGGTAGTTTTTAAACAAAACACATATCATAAATAGCCCATGTTTCATTTTAACTTAATGTAATTTTTGAAATCATTAAAAGCGACTGTTATTGGCATCTATCTGCTCATTGATGCAGTGCAATAAAGAATAAGAAGAATTCTTAAAATTATAAAATGAAAGCTTTTTTAAGTAATTGATTTCAAATTAAGGAAACATTAACTAGAAATTGCTGTTAATATGTTTTGAACAATTAGTATTTAAAGGAATGTTTTTAAATTAGCAAGTTTTAATGAAAGAATTAAACCAGGTATAGTTATGAATAATTATTGCTGATATTTTATAAACTAACACAAATGCTTCCCATCCCTAAGTGTGGGGTTGTTTTTTTACTGTAAGAACTGGACTTGACACTCTTGCAGCCAGACACCCCGCCATGCAAGTCAATGGAACACCAATACTGACTCAAATGGGCTACAATACTTCTCTACTGCATTTTTACCCCCTGCTTTAAATATGTGAGCTTTTTCAAGCCAACCAATGTACTAACATCTTAGCCCCAAAGCATTAAAAGTAGACATTTCCCTCATTTTGCAAACCTCTCTTCCAGAGTCTATGACAAAGAGCAGTCAAAGTCTTACTGGTATTATGTTTACCATCCATCTAAGAATAGAGCAAATGTGATTTACAATAACCCTTCAAAGAAAAAAACACTATATTCATATTGCTAGGGCTCATATTCACTGACAAGATCTGTGGGTATATATCATTTTTAGAAAATGCAATGTGGGAATGCATGTTTATATGGTAGAGTACAAAAGCAATGAAACCTCTTGGGAAAGCAGGAGATAACTCACGTTACACAAACAAGCCCTTTGCTCTTATTCTCTACAAAGCTGAAACATTTCTATCTGAAAATGTTTTTTCATACGTCAGGAAAATGCTATTCTTGTTTGCTCGTTCTTCCTAAGGTGAACAGAGTTTAGTATTAGCAAAATAATTGTGGGAATTTGGTATTTTTCCTGTTTTGTTGAGTACTTGGGAATGTTATGTTGGGAACTGTCAATTACTACTTACTCCACCTCAAAATCTGCTGCATGAAAAAAAATACACTGGTAATTTGCTTACACGGCTTTTGTAGATGCAATTACTGTTAGCAGCAGGAAAGAACTTTTATAAGCAGAACACAATTCAAATGTAACATGCCATGGCCTCAAGTCATTAAACTAATCCTCAGGGCTTCTTGAGGCTTTTTGTACTTTTGGCAAAAAGTATAAAGAAGTACGCATTGTTGCTTCAGTTCCCAAACATTGGAAAGTTAAATATCTAGACTGTCAGCCTCTGCTAAACAGAGCAGAGACTGGTTTTGGGAAGGAACAAGAGACAAATATATCTTTGCTATTAAAGCGCAATTGAACAAACATTGAAAGCATACCCATACATTTTTTCATGGCACATAAAAAGTAGCCAGTAGAATAAAGGAAGGTGCAACAGCTCACAAGCAACTCTGGTATTATGGGTTACCAGTATCTAGACACTGTGATGAATACCTTACAAATGCACTAGGACAGACTGAGTTAGATGAGTGAAGTATCTCAACTCTGATACGCAGATAACGTGACAAGGTGTGGCATGGAACTCCACGGTGTACTGGCATGATTTTAACATGACTACATAAGCTATACATGACAAAGCCATAAATACGTCAGACATGTCAGATATGTACTAACACCACCCAAATATCTTTCTGCTATATTGTTCTACATCACACATCTAAAATCAGATATTCTTTAGGGCACCCACAGAAAATCCAATACTTTTAGGAAGACAAAGTGTTCTTTTGTATTGCTATTCCGCCTGGTATCAAGAGGTTAACATCTTTCTAAAGATACTATTGAAAGTGGGAAAATAAGCAATGTATTCATTGGCACATGGGTCATTTAGACAGACATACCTGGGTGGCCTGAAATACACTTAAGAATCAACATGTGATTAGAGCTGAAAATACAATGGAAACTAGTGACAGCCCATTTGCTTTTAACAGCAGCTGAGCAGAAGAATCCTTTGGAACATGGAAGGATAATTGCATGTTTGACTACAATTATTCTCTCAACTAATGTTGACAAAAAGTAGTGAATTAATAAAAAATATGAAAATGTAAAAGCTGCTAAATATATTCTGCGTGTGTTTGCATGTGCGTGTGTAACCTACATTTTCTTAAATAAAATATCTGGGAAGTCTCATGCCTTTACCTAAATCAAATCTTGGTTTTTGTTTTTTAAATTGCATCCAACAGTTTATCCAGACCAATGCCCTGTTGAGCAAAATGTCAAGATACCACGTTCCTTCACTCACACAAACTTTATCACTGAGTTGTTATAAAACTGTGGTAGTCAGTATTTCCCATCTTTTCTTCTCTACCCAGAAGTGTCATCGCCAGTTCAGAGGAAAGTCACTGCAGTATTAACCAGAAAAACAAAGCATCACTGAAACAATGCTAGACCAGCTTGACTGTTGTATACCTGAACAGTCTAATGTAGTTACTTTTTAGAAGCAGATGTTACAAGACTGAGATACTGAAGGGAAGGAGGAGCATTAAGACATTCTTAATTCCAGAAATGGAAGAAGAGAAATTTAATGAAAGCAGACTGATTCTAATCCTCACCCTTCCATTTTAGGAGTAGAAATTCATTTCTCTGCAAATCTGTTTGCCAACTGGTAAACAGATCAGTAAGGTTCAACAATCTTAAAACAAAATATTCACATATTCTCCTGAAAAAAGTAACTTACTAAAGCTGCAAATTCCTAAAACACAGTTAATAAAGCCCTTTAGCTTCTACAACAATACTTTATTCAAATGTATGATATTCATACAGAGAACTTACCTTCCCAAAAGGAAAAGAAATTAAAGATTCCCCCCCCAAAAAAGCTATCAGTGTGCTGTACCGTAGGAGGCACTCCAAATATACTGCTACAGGAAAACACAGCATAGTTTTCATAGATTATGATGCTACAAGAATACCACATGTAGCCAGTGATGACTTTTCTTCATCCATGTGATCCAGCCATAGATACAGAACTAGCTGAAAGAAGATCTGTCATTTCTCCACCACACACACACTTGCAGTAATCATTATGACTTTAAGCCATTTAAAGCAATAGCATGTTATCACCTAGCCAACATTTCTCACATATATCAGGAAAAAAATGAAAAGCTCAGAGATTAAATAGAATGAACACTCCAGAAAAAAACCGTCTCACTCACTGTTCGATACGTGGGGAGAGATACAGCTTAGGAAAAACCTGAGTAGCTTCTGCATCCTCAAAACTAACGGAGAGAAGTGCAACATCTTCTCCAGGATCTTCATTCACATCCTGTACATAAAAAATAATAAATATAAAATGGCAAATAACAAACTGAGTACTTATAAGCTTACAGATAACAACTAAGTCAAATACCAATTTATTTAGGAGACGCTTAAACAATGAATCTAAAGCGTAACCATTGAAAAATAGGTTGCAAATTTATTCTTTCTTACTATATTAGTACTTAAAAGATATTCTGCTGCGCTTAATTTCCTTTGAAGTATCAAAATAAAATTACTGTGTTAGCAAGTGTACAGTAGTGTAGCTCTTCTTCAGTTAGCTGAACTACATATTTCAGTAAAGATGCATATTTCATTTTTAAGAATTCTTGGTTTAACACTAACATCAGATGCAAATGCGAAAGCATTTTAAAAAATGTTATAATATCACTGAGTTTATGACCACAATTTTATATTTGTTATTTTTCAAAGTAGTATATGGTCCAAAATTTCTGCTGTTCTCAGCTCCTACTTCTCTTGTGGATGAAAAATGTTTTTGCAATCAGAAATTTGCATCTAGAAGTAATGTCCCCAAGTTTCCTGCAAATTAAACCCATGCATTACTTTCAGCAAAGACTGCATACTCCATAAAAGCTACTGTAAGAAAAAAAAAAATCCATGCTAAATACCATGACAGTCAATCTTAATGCATTCTCAGTTTAAGCTTTCTTTGTATCAGAACAATCAGCTACAGTTTTGGGATCAGGTAGAACAAATTGTTTCTGGTTAGGACCTGACATCTCTCCAATTCATAAATCACATACAGTACAAACAAGTGTATTTCTGCTACATGCAACTTCATTTAAGCTCTTGACTTCTAGTTAGAAAGCAATGAGTTAGCAGTGCAGTCACCTTCATCGACAGCAAGTAATATGGTGCCACTTGCTCACAAAGAAGTCCTTTAACGTGTTTGTGCATATGTACATAGCAACTTGCCAAGATGCATTAGTTTTTATCCGTTTTGGAAAAATACGAGAGGAAATAGATAACCCAGCAGATATGTGCTCAAAGCAAGATCAACATGGCGCAGTGTGCCCTGGCATGCTCTGTCCCACAAGCAGCTGTGAGGAAGGAACATGCAAACCGCTTAAACATTGTTAGGAGATCCTGCCCTATCTGGGAAGAAAAAGTGACTGCTGAGTGGTTTCAGGAAGACAATCTCGTGCCATTTGAAGCTTTGGCAGGATTGAAACCATTAACGTCCAGAGAGACTAGCTGCATACCAGCTATTATGTGCAGAACACAACATGCCAAGAAACTTAGTGATAAGCTGCAGGGAAGAACAAGTCTTAAAAAAGCCTAATTGTCTTAGATGAAAAATGAGACAGAGCTGACAGTGTTTTCTTAAATTCTGCCTTGGTGTGCAGCCTACTTCTGACAGCTGAAAGAAAAGTGTACTCTTCGAAATGCCTATAAAATGGTCAGGAGCACACTTAGGCTGGAAATCAGAACATGGTTTTAACCTGAAGTTGCAGGACAACGCTCTATATGAGTGGTGAGGACAAAAGCTAGCTGCTGTCCTGTTGGGGTAGGATCAGTTTATGGACGGGATTATATGACATGGTTGCCTGCAACAGCAACGGACAGGACCTCGTGACCCACAATGTTCCCTTCAGCGTTACGTTTCCAAGTGGTATTATCATCTACAGTAGAAGAACCAGCATGGATTACAAAACCTTTTTCAACGAGACAAACGACAACAAAAAATACCCAAGAGTGCAATTGCCCTGGAACCGTTTCCCCAGTATTTCACATATTTCCATCATTAAAGAAAACATTTAAATAAGGAACGGCTTTCACTCTTGAAGCTGAGTATGGCATTAACTGGCTTTTTCCCATTAATTTGCTAATTGTCAATCAAATGAAAAGAACTATTAAGACAGATTAAGCAGTAATGCTAATGATGAAAAAGATTTTATTTTAATGGGCATTCTTCAAGAGATGACAAGTACATATAATACATTCACTTACGTACGTATACAGTTCTTCCGAGACCATATTCTTTTGTTTGTAATTCTTTTCAAATAGTTTGTTTTTACAGAATGGAACCTACATGCATTTCACAAGCTACATGGACAAAACCAAATGTGTTTAATCTTGCATTTAGTGTTAGTGCTTAAGTTGATGTGCACACACAGATTGACACCATGCGTAAGACCAGTTTCTAGAATACCATCCAGGTGCTCACCAATCAAAGAAAATCAAAACAAGGAAAAAAAAAACAACCCCAAAACAGATTAGGTGAACACCACTACAGCATCCATTAACCCATACAGTAATATTATATTTTCTACACTCACTAGTGGCTTCTTTAATATGAAGACTCATGCCAGGGAAAAAAAAAACACACAACAACATAAATCATCACGGTATCTTTGCATGTTAAGCTGCAATAAGCTGATACGTGCAGCAAGAGCAATAAACTGAGACGTGATATTTTTCATCTACAGAAATAACACACAACAAACACTACTGCAACTACTGTTGCCAGCACAGCACTGCATTACGTTCATACAGCTACAGTCCAATACAAGTTTGAGTACAAAAATTGGCATTCTTTAACTACCACTTTTCAAACGGGTGCATATTTTTGGCCCACATACCTGAGAAATTCTAACTTAAAAAAAGATGCAAAAAATCAGCACTCCTGTAGGTTTTAAAAAGATGTAATGCAGTAACACCATGAAGCTGCTCAACCTTATTGCTCAGGTGGCCACAGATTTACACTTAAGTCCCTTTGTATCTGACACCATACTGTTTATTCCTTTCAGACTTTGTTACTTTTATTTATGCAAGAATCTGCTTGGTGGAACTGCATTCAACCCTGGTATGCCTATTACAACTGCCGTTTATAAAACTAAACCAAAACCACATGTCTTACAGATAAACTGTGGAAAGCTTTTCAACTAACAGACATTTTGATGTTGTCTGTGCCAATCACAACTTAACTCCTTCAGTGGTCTCTCTCCTGGTCATCTCTACAAACCTGTTAGTGACTAGGTGAGATGATGGATCCTTATATTACCAGGCAACAACATTTTCCCCAGAACAGGGGCTGAGATCCTTCCATTACACCAAAGTGTCCAAAGGCAAAGGTTGTTTTAATGCTTCTTATCAAACTCCGCCCAGGCAGTGTCTTCCCCTTTCCCATTTCTGCATGCGTATTTCTCTCAAAGAACAGGCCAGATTTAAACAGAGCAGCAAAGCAAAAATCACCTCTATTTTTATTTTTCAGTTGGCTTCAAAAGAGAGAGTGACATCCAATTGCTTTGGCAATATTATTCCCTTTTAGGAAAAAAAGAGGCTGTTTAACTAAAGTCACAACACATTTTTTAAGTAGCCGTGTTCCTTCTCATAATTTGTATTTAACTCACAACACTTAATGTTAGAGGATTTTACTAAAAAAGATTAATTTTATATTTAAGAAAAACTGATTTTGTAAAAATTAAGAATGGCAATTTTCTATAAACGTTAGCATCCACGGTTAGAACTGCCACGTTAAAGTACCATTTTATACTCACAGAACTTTTTCCACACAAGACTCTACAGAAGGTATTATTAAAATGAACTTCCACTGAATGGAGAGCACATCCTGGGCCACAGGAATTTTGAGGTTTAAAAAGTGAATGTTTGTAAAAATGTTTGATTTCATTAGTTAAGCATGTGATAATGCACACCTATTAGTTTTCCCACAACACTCATGCTTGATAGTAAAAAAACCCCTCTAGCGCACTGCAAAAGATCCAACATAGATTTTCACGGTGTCTTTCTGCCACCTCACTATCACGTATTTCTTTCCTAAAAAACAATCTTTTCCTCATTTCAGAAAATGTCCATTCAAATCAAACAGGAAAAAAAATGGATACACCATTTAACACTGAAAATAAATAGTTTTCTTTCTCAAGAACTGCAAGGGGTTTCCTATGTTTACAGAATACTTTGCACAGTGTGAACTGATCCTTGACTAAACCTCCAAAGTGCTGTGGAAATGCAGAATATACATAGTAAAGCAATGTGGTGAGAAAGGAACAAAATAAAAAAAAAAAAAAACCTAAAGATTTTCAACCCATAGGCTTTTTTTCTATTGCAGAGCTTCCAGCAACAACTTACAAGAATAAATAAAACTTTTCACAAAGAAAAGCACAAAGAGAAAGCTCATGGTATTTTACTCTAAATTACCCTTTGTCTACTTAGCCAGTGCAGATGAAAGGTTCATTAAGTATGTATTCTGAAACTCAAGAACAAGAGGACGTGTAAAAATACAAATGCAGCACAGAACAGATGAAAATAAAAGTTTGAAGGCATTTAGAAATTTTTTTCCTCAAAAAATTTCAGGAAAAGACTTCAGGTATCACAAGTCTCCAAAGTAAAACTTAAAATCCTACTTATAATTGTATCAGCACTGTCTAAACGACCATTTGTTAGTTTTCATTCACAGTCTAAATTTACATTCAAACGCATGCTTCAATGTTTACAGCTGCTCCCTTTGCAAAATACTTAATCTTTTGACAAAGTTAGTATGAGTTATTTAAGAAAATTATGATCAAAACCACTTTAAACACACCATCCAAACGGCATTGTTTTCTTGTATCCTACCTACTGTAATTGAAAACTGAGAATTTACTGGAACTGACAATTTATTATGAGTCAGATGGTTGATAGCCAGTCCAACCAAAACATCTGCTCCGCACAGTCACAACTGCTATAACCCATTTCCTCTTGTGCCTGGAGTCCAACCAAGTTGTACATTACAGTTCCTTTTCCTTAAAGATGCAGACTCTGGAAAATCAGTTATTACCTTTCCTTAGTTATCAACAAAGAATCACCTTGCGACCTTTGATTAGAGTATTCTTTCAAGAGGAGGTATTTCTCTATTTGGCATGCAAGTGCGATTCCCTGCACCAAACAGCAATGCATAAAGTGGTAAGCGACTGCCGGCCCATCCCAGGCAGTGGCAGGACCTGCCTTTCCATGGAAGACTTGAGAGGTAGGGGACATGGGACTGGGGGA